GAGGTCAAATTTAATGCAATGAAATGGTCCCCAGCATGGAAAACTGTCAAATAAAGCTTTCAGATGAAGGCAGAAAATAGGCAGCCTTTGCCTTTCCGCTTTTCACTTCATGCCAGCAATTGTAGGATGAAGATTTTGAGGGATCTGGATGATTGCGCATGTGCGTAAGTGCACACACATTTAGTCTACAAATGGCTGGAAGAGAGCAGCCTGGGAGTTTAGGTCTCAACACATGTGGAGGGTGTTGTGTTTGCAAACGTTGTGTCAGTGATTTCTGAATAAAGCGACTGTGGCTTATTTCACAAACAATGTTTACAGTACCCCTACCTGTGCAATGTTTAACCTCAGAGTCAGAACCTAAAGAGGAGGGGAAGTGGGCCAGAGGAAAAAGAGGCAGAGAACTGGGACAGTTGCAACCTTTGTGTGAAGAGAACTGTGATGATGTTCTCCTACTATTTGATGATTATCTCAAATCAATTTCTTTTCTATTCTAGGGCCATTTGTTAAGCTGCATTGGGACTTTAAATAACGAGAAAGAAAAGATTTCAAACCATCACGCAGATGAAGGAACCCAGTCTATAACCCTGATTGTATGTGTTATTAGGAAACGAACAATGGCTTCTTTTTTTAATGCTGTTTGGAATACCTGCCTAGAATAGTTTAGTCTTCCCCAAGGATGTTCTAAGGATCAGTGTCTTAGAAATCCTGCAAAGTTTTCCTTGAGTTTGATTCCTGGAGATTACACAAGCAGGTAATTGGTTTGCTGTGGCCTTCTGCTAAGATGAGATTTAATGTTTTTTTTTTACTTTCCAAACTACAGCCCTTGGATTCCCTGGTGGTCTTCCATCCAAATACTGACTAGGTCCAAATCTGCTTAGCTTTTTCAAGATCAGTCAAGACTGACATAGTGCTATCATCTGCTGGGAAATTTTCTGTAAAATGTGGTGTGTTTGAAAAGCCGCTAAGACTAAACCAGCAGTAGACAGCCTTTGGGAGGCTGGTAGCACATTAAGGATGTTGAGTGTATGTCCTGAACACCCCATAAAAAGGTTGCCATAAGGGTTGTTGCCAGTTATGAAACAACTACTTACTGGGGGCAAACGGTTAAGGCTATTCCAGGATGCTTGTCAGTCTTGTGAGGTAGTCCAGACAAGAAGCACACCCAGATGACCTAACTCTACTCTATTGTAAGATTATATTAATGGAACCTTGCAAGTCTGAAAGTACATTTCTCCTCTGCCACCTTTATAGCCCAAGAAACTAGGGAGGGTCCCTTCTGAGATGTTTGCCATACCCTCATTCCTGCTGCGGGCTCAGCTGCCTCTTATCCAACTGTTGCCTTGGCTGCAGCTCTTCCCCCTGTCTCCCAAGGTCATTCCCACATACCATCACAATGCTCTATCCATTCCTGCTTATCTTTGCCTCTTTTTCTTGGTAGCTGATCCTCCCAGACATAGCAATGGACTGTACTCACTACTTTAATGCTCTGTGAATGTCTTTATACGGCCTAGAGCCATTCTTATGAACATTTTTTAAGTGTGTTTGTATGTATATGTATGTATATCTGTCTGTTTCAATCAATCTGTGGGAGGAAATGCAGATGATGGTGCTTGAAAGGCCACATATCTGTGCATGAACATCCACAGCAGGAAGCAAGTAATTGTCAGCCTTCCCTCCTAGCAATGTGAACCAGAAACTGTTCATCTAAAGAACATGTCTCTCAGAGTTCTGATTAGTAATATTTGTTAGAAGGAACATTAAGTTTACAACACAAGATTTCATGCAAGCACTCTGTTTTCAAATGAGAATCCTATATATAGGCCGTCTGATCTGCTTTCTCACACTCTTCCGCTTCAGAGGGGAGAAGAGGTGTATGTTTGTGAATTTGCACCTCTTGATTGTTTAGGTAATTGTTGCTAGATCTTATCAGTGTGAGAAGTTTTCCTCACAGTGGCGACATGCCGATCCAGACAACATTGCACAAATGTCACAAAGTATGTACTTTGCACTCTTTGTATGATAATGTCCTTGATGTCATTGTGGCGTCTAACTGATGCCTATGTGTCTATGTCACTGAATGTCTTTCCTATGCTGACTTGGTTCCTAAACAAGCATCTTTTTCTCTTTTCATCCACTGCTTGCAGGAACAAATAGAAGAAGAGAGGCAATGTATGATGGCTGAATTTGAAGAAATGCGCCAGTTTCTGGAAGATCAGGAGAACTTTTTGCTGCTTAATGTTGTGGGAGGGTTAGAGAAGGGGATGTTCTGGAAAAAGTCGCAGCATGCAGCCTTCATCTTCCAGGAAGTCTCAGCTTTTGATGATCTCATCCAGGGACTGAAGGAGAAGTGCCATCAGTCAGCAGTTGAGCTTCTTCAGGTAAGAAATTCCTAAATAAATTGGGACAAAGGCATCTGAGAGAACAGCTTCTCCTAGATAGAGCTGCTTGGCTGCTGTGATCCTCCTTGGAAGCCTTCTTGATTCTGCAGTAGCCTACAGATATTTGTACACCTTTTCTCCAGAAAGAAGGCATGCATTGTGGTTACCATTCAGGCACATGCTGAAAATATTCCTGTGCCCTTCAGTATTTCACTCCCTGTTCCTTCCAGGCACTGATTATATTATGGTACAGATGTGTTATTGCTTTTACATATTGCATGGTTGATGGTGTGTAAATGGAATAGAAGAATAGATTCTGGCAGACAATGTACAAGTCTTTTCTACAGAAGGATGACACTTAACAGTTGCATCCCTTTCAGTGGTTAACTCTTTGTAGAAGAAAGAGCAAAGACCTCCTTTACTGCTAACCAAGAGGGACGGGAGTCCAGGCTGGAGCTGAGTGAAATGTTCTGAGGCTGGGTTCCTTAGTATGGTTTCCATGATACCAATATCGCTTTCATGCCTGCTATGATCCCTGATCCCCTGACACGTTAAATGTCTTGAGATGTTTTTAACAGTGTCCATATTCTTTCTTAATGAACAGAAACGGGGTATTTGCTGACTTTTGGGTTTTAATGTGCATATCTGTCAAGAAAAGAAGGATAATGGTATTCTGGGAAAAGCAAGCATACTGGTTTCCTTCTACTTCTTGAATGTGAAACTTCCCCATGGTGGCTGTTTTGTGTGAACCCTTAATGTGCCTTCAAAACCCCCAATATGCTCACCAATCCAGACCACTGGTATTTTACTCCTGTAAAGGTGCTTGAGTATTAATTGTGCTGCTGTTTCTATGATACTTTTCTAACCGGTTGTAGGTTAAGGCTGGTTTCTCTCCTCCTGCCTTCTGTCCATAGACTCACTTTGATGTTTCGGGGTCTCAACGTTAGAACTCTTTGACTCCAAGGAAAACATCTGAGTATAAGGAAGCACTGCTCACACAGTTAAGAAAGTCTCCTATCTGTGAATCAAACTTTCAGTTCTATGGCTTCCCCTCCAGTAATGTTGGGATAAATAACACTCACTAGAACTTTCAGATGTGATGGAGTTCCTTTACATTGGCCATATAATCCCACCTGTTAGCATGGAAATGTTAAAAAATTAAGAATAAGAATAAATAATTTATAGAAGAGATTGTTTAATATAAATTATGTCTCTGTGCATGAGTGTGTGTGTGTATACACATACACAAACATAATTTATATTAAACAATCTCTTCCACATACACACACCCCTTGAAAATTTACCTTTAGAAATGCAGATTTTCAAATAAAACCCATTTCAAGCAATGGAACACTGTGCCTAATGAGTTCAGTTTTGTTTTCATCACAAAGCATTCTGGGTTGGTTTTCTCTTGAGTTCCTTTGCTCTTTTCTTTGTAACATGTAGTTACTGCAGATGTCATCCTGCTTTACTGTCTCTTTTTATATTGTCTTTTGATGACTTTCCTGTGATGTTAAGACCAAGGTTTATAGCAGGCTTTAAATCCATGATTCCCAACTTATGGTCCAGGAAATATTGGTGGTCTGTGGGAGTGTAGTAGGTGGTCCTTGGTGCACATCCCCTAAACCCTAAGCAACTTTAATGCAATCCAATGCACATGGAGGACATCCAGTTACAAAAAGCTGTTAAGGCCTTTCCCCCACTTGTACCTAACTGTGGCACAACCATGTTCTAGCAGCCTCTGTTTTTCTGCTGTGATCTCATGATGTTGCCTTCATCTCCTTCTCAGCCATTAGGGAGACAGATATAAGGCACCCTTAGCTGTACTGGTGTTAAAATTCCATGCTCCTCTTTATTCTGACACCATCCAGGGGCAGCCTCAAGGTGTGTAAAATCATCCAGGCTTTTTCACCGATTACCTTGGAGGGGAGAAGCAAATGACCAGGAATAGAGACAGGAGAGCCATCAGCAAAAAGAGCAGCCCATTTCATAGGTATAGTTTTCTTCTGACTGAAGGATGAATGGAGGGCACTTCAGTTCAGCAATGAAAAAAAGGTCCAAGGAAGCTGCTGAGACAGTATTTCCTGGAGCTGTTCTAGAAGACTTTCACATCTAGGATGGAACTGCCTTGTCCTGGGCAGGATTCCCGTGGAGCTGTCCCAATGTGCCACCTGTCCAATATGTGGATCAGGATATAGTCTCGCTTTGATGTTCTCAACTGGGCAGGAGAATAGTGGAATGAAATGGGGGAAGCAGGTGCTGCAATCAAACTATAGTTCTTTCTGGAACTGAATGGAGAAGTTGACATCATCACTCTTCCTCTAAGCACAGCCTGTATAGCTCCCTGACATTAACCTAGAATGAAGGCAATGAAGCAAGTGAGAAAACAGCTGGGACACAGGTGGGAAAGCTCATGATGAGCTCAATTAAAAACTAAGTGGGAGGATCTGTAAATTGCTGATAGGTACCTGTTTTGCATATTGAACCGTCTTCCTGGAGTCGGCTGCTTCTAGATGTATGGATTCCCAGAATTCCCCAAGCAGCATGGCCAATGCTGAGAATTCTGGGGTGTGAAATCCCACATATCTGGAGAAGACAAAGGCTGGGGAAAGTTGACATAGAACATCTCAGATACAATGAGTAGCATTTCCAGGTATTAGAGCAGTCTAGGATTTGAGACTCATCTTTAGTATGAACAAGCACCTAATTCCTTTCTACTTTAACTCTTTCTCTCTTCTAGGATATGGGAAGCACTCTTAAGAGGTGAGCTGACCTCTCCCTAAATTGGAACTGTGGATGCACGGAGAGGGGCTAGGCACAGAGAACAGTCAGTTTAATGAATTGCTTTTATGTGTGTTATTCGTGCAAAAATGGAATAATAGAAACCAAAGATCTTTGTTGACGCTCCAATTGAACCCCTTAAAAAAGAAATGGTGAAATCATGGACTCTGTCTTTTTTGTGTTTTGACATATCAAAAATGAAAAGAAACAAAACAAAAGGAATTTGATTGCCACTTTAAAATGTTTGAATAATAATTTGTTAGACAATCTGATACAAATTGCATTGCAGCATATTCAAGCCCAGTTAAATCTGGAGACTTTAAATTAGTATCATGACTCATAACTATGGTCTGAATGATGATGATCTTCATTGATGATCTTAAGAGAAGTCAACAAGAATTATTTATCATTACAGCTTGCTAAAAGACATACGCTGAGGTCCATTTTTGCATGTGGTTCTGGTTAGATATCAAGTCTTTGGGGACATCTGACTTCCTGAGGTTGGTATCTAGTGGTTCTCTTCCTGCTTTTCTGTTTCTGCCCAAGACTATAGACTTTCTGCTGGTCCCTGTTACCTGCATTATCCCAGATCACCATGCTTTGGCAGAACGGTGGGATACACATTCCATAAATAAAATAGACCTTTTGCCTGGACTACCAAGTCTCATGATTTCTCAAAGGAAAAAGAGTAGTCACCTAGAGCAATCCACCCAAATGTGGGAACATAGGATCAGGGCTTAGGGCAGGGATGGGCAAACCTTTCAGGTGTGGGATCTCATTTTGTCTTTATGTCTTGCCTGGTGGATATGACATGGCATCACTGGAGTGAGTGAACTTGAAATTTTCAGCCTGTGTCTTGAAAGGGGGATGGTTGAAGGGCTAATATGGATGTAGAGTATTTACCCCTTAAAAGATTTTTTTGGCTTATGTTTTGTTAAGCTTGGGTGGTTTTAAAAGCCCCTAGCATTCTCATCAACCCACTGATAATCGTAGTCCCACATGCTTCAGGAAAGGCTCTGGGAACCATAGATTGGGGGCTGGCTCTTTTAGGAGATGTTGCTGATCCCCTATAATTATTTCAGTTGCAACCTATTCACTTCCCTCAATTTATCTATGGGGCAGAGGGCAAAGTTCATTTTTCCATGTGGGTCTACTTGGCAGTTTTGGATCTGAGGATGTTCAACACTATAGAAACATAGATTTTGTCCCAGATTTTTCCATTCCTCCAAAAATGGCCCCTTTGGTTTGTTTCTTCTTAGATGCAAGAAAACATTTGTGAATCCAATGATGTTTCACCCATGGGTGAAATTGGGACTCTGGGATTTGTTTGACTTCAATGCCTTTTTAGGGAATATCATGAGACAATTCAAAGGTAAGAAAAGGACTGAAACAAAACACAAAAATTGGTGATGCAAAGATGCTGGGTGAAAAGTTGGTGTGGGTAAATGTTGGGGCCATTGTATAGCTAGAAGGGCCTGATCAGTGGGGAATTTTGAGGACCACTTAAGAAGAAAGAAGGGGAGCCAATCACAATGGCTTAATCGGCTTTTGTTTCAGAACTCTGCTATCAAAGTTGTTAAATGGAAATAAGATTGGAGTGGGTGGCATTGTGGGGAGGCTGGAGAGGCAGCAAGAAATTCTTTCAGGCTGAGGTCTATACAATGCCTTTAAAAGACCTGCTGACATTAAAAAAAAAAAGCAATTAAAAGTAGAATGCTTTGTATGAAAAAAAAATCTGGATTCAAACTTGGCATCTCCAGGAATTACTGGGAAGGACTTCTTTTCTTAAAAAGGGGCAGGTGTCTTAGGGAGTAATATTTGAATTACAAAAATATGAAAACCTTTTGCATCTGACATTTAAGTCTGCAGGTGATTCCAAACTCTGCAGATGAATTTCAAGGCAGTATGTGTGTAACTGGACATTAGAACTTCGTTTACATACCCATCATTAGGAAGGTTGAAAACATTTCATATTAAGAGAAGGCAAATATTGGATTCACGCATCATGTTACACCATGAGTTGTTTAACTATGGTTGTTGATTAAACTATAACTGAGTTCACACAACACACTGAGCCAAAATTAACGTTATGACTTAGTGCGTGATCTAGAAATCTAATATTGCTGTAACTGTGCGTGTCAGAGGTGACCAACGTGCAGACCATGTGGCTCTTCTAATTTTTATAAGTCATTGGGAGGGCTTGGAAACGTTATTCAGCACTCAGGAATCTGCTCGATGACTGTTTACTTGGGATCTTGAAATGAAGTGTCCATGATAACATCGAGAGGAAATTGTATTTTGTTCTAACAAGCATTGTGCTGGATTACTTAATCTGTACTCTGTTTCCTTAGAGATCCTGATATCTGGATATCAGATGCAGAAAGGTATATCTCTGAGACTGAGGGATGGCTCAATCATCAGAAACCTCTTTCCTTTTATTTTGC